CGCGTGCCTCAACAGACTGTGAGTGTGTGAGTGAGTGACCATAAGCTGAACCTGGGAGCAGCGTGTGTAACAAGTCCCTGCTGCTCCAGAAATGAATGCAATTAGCACACTAAATGAATTTTTGTGAAGGCCTTATTGGCCACAGTTGCCAACTGCTCCTTCAGCAGGAGCTGTAAGTCCAAGAAAAACCCCAATTTTGTTCAGCAGTCCCAAAGGAGAAAGTGCAAACCCATTCAGGACTAAAGATGGTATATCTCCAGTCTTGGGTAGTCTGAATATCCACAATCACCTAGTCTTGTCAAAGTTGAGCTTGAGTCTGTTCCTCTCCATCCAGAGTCTGTCCCTCTCCATCCATCTGCATATCTCCCAGACACTGGGACAACACCCTGACAGCATTACTTGGTCAGCCAGGGGCACAACTGGGTATCATTAGGATACTGATTATACCTGACCCCAAATCGAAAGATGACTTCACCCAGTGGCCTCATGCAGATGGCAGAGCAGGGGCGAGAATGTTTTTTTCTTTTAATTGTGTTATTATAAGTCTTGATACATTATGTTCCAGAAGTCCTGTGGTCATTTAAAAAAGAGATGACTATCTGCAGATGCAAACAACTATGTTTTGCTGCTCTTATCATCATTATAGAATCCCTAATATGTGCTCTCATTCATGCTCGATTGGACTCACTCTTCCTCTCTTCCAACGGTGCTCTAGACATCTCTTCTGGCATTTCATCTCCTGATGTTCCTCAAAGAACCAAGGAGCACATTGCAATCAATGCACAGTGAGAGGTTGTCCAGGAGCAATCTGACCCAAGGCCCTCGATGCATACCCATTCAAGGCAGTGGCCAAGACATTAGTTGAACTACCCATCAGATCCTTGGGAAAGACCCCAAACTCCCTCTGAAACTCCACAGGATTGCCTGATTAGTTGCCTGAGGCAGATTGATCTAATAGGTCCTACCTCCCCATCAGGTCAGCTGCCTCATCTGCAATCAAATATTGGCTGAGGATGGTCTTATTACATACTAGGCTGGCATTTAGTACCCATAGCCAGAACCCAGGGCCACCAAGAATCCAACGACCTGACCTCAGGGGTGAATATAAAAGCTAGAAAGAGGGATGGGTCTCTTGAAAAACTGATCTGATATGGAGGGCTTTAAACCAAATTCGAGGGAGCAGGGAGAAAAGAGCCCAGAAAATAGTGTAATGTAGTGAGAACAAAACTGAGTGGGTATGCAAAATGTGGAGGCACCAAATAAGAAGCATGTAAATACAGGTCAAATCATATGAACCAAAGATTCCAAAAGCACAGAGCAAAGAGAACAGGAATAAAATCTTCACACAGGAAGCTGAATAGGATTTAGTAGACATTAGTGAAACTTGGAGGGACAAAACTAATGAATTGTAGGATATAATTTATTAAAACGTAATAGAACAAAAACATGGGGAACAGAAGAAGTACAAAAGGGAGTTAAAGGGTCATTGGACTGCTAACTGGGCCATCTGATATTAGATCCATGCCCCTCCTGAGGTAATATGTGAAGGAAATACATGCATTTGAGACTCACAAATCAGAGTACAAGGGGTCCAGTTCAGTGTCTGGGTAGGAAAACCAGGCAGGCAGAAAATTTAGACCAGGTCACAGAACTTTCAAGAAGGAGACAAAAAATAGGGGAGATTTCAACTGCCCAGATAACTGTTGGAAAAAAATGCCAAAAATACTAGCTCCCCCAAATTCCTCAGTGATCTTGCTGACTGCTTCATTTTCCAGAGGGTTGTTGAATAGACAAGATTATTAGTTCTATTAATCTATTAGAACTATTAGACAGTTCTGAACTGATCCTAATCAATAGGAAAGAGCTGACCGAAATACTAAAAGCAGTGAGTCAAAAAAATGAGGGGGGGCATCCTACTATTGTGGATGCATGGGGAGCTTTCAACTGAGTTAAGAATTAAAGAATTAAAAGGAAAATGTATAAAAATGGAATATGGGTGAAATTGCCAAGGACATCTATCACAGATGCAGTTATGGACACCTATCTGTAACTGCAGACTGGTCAACTTGATGTCGATAACATCCAAAATTCTGGAACAAATTGTTGAGCATTCAATTTGTGAGCATTTAGAAAACAATGCATTGCTTGGTAGGAACCAGTATGGCTTTATCAAGAACAAATCATGCCAAAGAACGTGATTTCTTTTTTTGATAGTGACTAATTTATTTGACAATGGGAATGTGGTTGATGTAGTATGTTTTGACTTCAGCGAAGCTTTAAAAAAAATCTGTAAGATTCTAGTAAAGAAGTTGCAGAACACAGGATGGATAGGCTATCTTTAAACTTACATTGATAGTTAAAAACTGTGCCCAACAAATGTATATTACTAATTATGTCAAGTGGGAAGCAAGTGTTGACTGGCGTACCACAGGGCTCCATTCTGGGCCATGCACTGCACAACGTATTTAAAGATGCCTCGGATTAGGAGTTAGAAAATATGAATAAATATCAAATTTAGGGGGATACCTTAGAGAACAGTATTAAGATCAGACTGATAATCTGGGACGCTGGGCAAAAAACAGAAAGATAAATTTCAACAAAACAAATGCAAAATTCTACACTCTGGCATAAGTATAGGATGAGAGCAGAGTTAGAGTTAGGGCAACAGTACAGGTAGTCCTCGCTTCATGACCACTCTTTCAGCGAACATTCGAAGTTATAACAGTGCTAAACAAGGAGACTTACAACTGGTCCTCTTAGTTGCTGTTGTTGCAGTGTCCCCGTGGTCATGTGACTGCAATTTGGGCACTTGGCAACTGGCTGCAGTGTCTCACAGTCATTTGATCACCATTTGTGATCTTCATTGCCAGCTTCTGACAAGCAAGGTCAATGGGGAAGTTGGAAGAAAGTTGTAAATGGCAAGCATGTGACATCACACTTAATGACCACATTGCTTAGGAATCCAGTTGCCAATTCCATTTACCATTGTTACGTGAGGACTACCTGTACATATAAAAAGCATCTGGGTATCTTGGTTGACCATAAACTGTACATGAACCCAAAATATGCTGGGGATGCAAAAAAAGCAAATGTAATCCTAGGCTGTATTAACAAAAGTACAGCGTCAAGGTCAAGCAAAGACACGCTTCCTGTTTATTCTGTGATGGTCAGACTACTTTTAAAATATTGTGTCCAGTTCTGGGCGCATTTTGGAAAATACACATACAAACTGATGCGTCCAGGGAAAACCAACCAAGATCATAGACTCTTATAAGGAAAATTACAAGGAATAATTGGAGGCACTGGATATGCTTGGCCTGGGAAAAGAGAAGGCTATCAGGAGCTATGATAGCTGTCTTCAAGAATCTGTAAGGTTGTCATGAAGAAGATGGGGTAGGATTGCTCAGAGTTCTTCCAAAAGGCAGGACAAGAAACAAGGAAATTACAAGGAAGCAGATTTTGATTGGATCTTAGGAAAAAAAATCCTCATAAGAGCTGTTCACTTGAATTGTTTAAATAGAGATTGGCAATCTATAGTAGTAGATTTCTTGCATCTACCCTTCCAACATTCTGTGTAAATACTGAAGAATATGTATTCAGGTTATATCAATTAAGAATGAAATTTTATGCTTCTGACTAGGAATACATCATGATTTAAATAATTTCCCTGATCAGTGATTAAATCAAATCCACTCTTATGAAAAACCAGTAAAAATTCAAAGCTGCTTTCTCAATGCCCAGGAAATCAAATAAAAAAACTTCTTCAGTACTCACAGAAACCCGAGCTCCTTGATTCTATTTTTAGTGAACAGTATTACACAAATTAAAACTGTAATATCATGCATGGCCCCAGAGCTGGAGCCATGTTATTGCACTAGATGCACAACTATTGAAAGTATACACTGCTATCTATGGGCCAAAGCAACTGTTAAAATCATAATATTCACTATTTATCAACAATGAATTTTCACTGGAACAAATAATAGTATGAGCATCGGCAACAAATGGTAAGGGATGAGCCATAACTGCCAGATTCCCACTTTCATTAAGAGAGACACTCTATAACTTTTTTAGAAGCTTAATTAATGTGTAGTTATTGATTTTTCTCATTTTGTAATAAAGACAAGTTCCTGCTTTTCAATATTTTAGCCAATGAATGAACAGCTCTTAGCAGCAACTGACATATACGCTGCCATTTAACAAAAATGTACTGTTTTGCTTTTTACTTACTTATGCGACATTTTTCTTTGGCACTTCCCCTTGCGTTTAGCTTTCTGCTCCGAGATCGCTTTTCTTAAGGTCTGGTGGGAAAGGAGTCTGTCTGTCCCGATACCAACCCCCTTCTGGGTGCAGCCGTAGGCATCCGGGGCCCCGGCAGCGGAGGCCCTTAACGACTGCGGCGCGTGTGCCGGGACGCGAGCTTTCTTCTCCTGCCCCTGCCTCGGGGCCACCCGTGGAAGCTCGCCCCGCTTCCACCTCTGAAGGCTGCTTCTCCCGCAGTTGCAAAGCGCAGCTCTCCTCGCGTGCCTCCCTTAGCAACAAGTTGTCGAGACCAAAGCCACGCTTCGGCTCCCCTCCTCCCTTCTCTGCCCGGGCGGTTGCTATAGAAGCGGGGGGAGGGGGGCTGTTGCCTTCTTCGGAAACTTGCTCTTTGCTGTGGCCGCCGTAGAAAGAGCCGGAGGATTTCAACCAGTGACATACATGCATGCAATATATATGAATAGGCCCTGAAGAGTCCTGATATACGATTCCTCAAGGGAAAGAACTCCGTTGCTAGCCTTTTTGTTTTGGCTTTTTGTTGAGAAGCGACAAGCTTGCAGGGTTGCCATTGCACAAACTTCTAGATGGGACATTCATTGTGCAATTGCCCTTCCTCGTGAAACTTGATTGGGGTCCTGACATTTATTTATTCATTCCCTTTGTCATTCCCTTTGCCATACTTACAATTCACCTCAAAACATAACAAATAAATCAGAACATCAAAGCCAAAAGAAAAATCTCCTAAAGTTAAATCCCTAAGAAAACCCAAGCTTCTCATCATCTGTTTGCAACTTACGTTTTACTACTGCTTCCCGCTTTCTTCTATATGAAGAAAATGCATAAAAGCTGAGCAATATGTTTTGGCTGGTAGCACTAATGACACCCCATTGTTCTCTCAAGTATATTCTCTCCATTTCTCCTCCATCATCTAGATAATCGACTAAATACCCAGGAAACATCTTGTGGGCTGAGACATGAAATTAAATCCTATGCATATATACGGAAAGGAATAACAACTATGCCAACTAGCGAAGGTAACTCTCCCTTAGATAACCAACTAAGCATCCAGGAACTACCCTGGGCGAGAACAAGGGATCATATGGAATTGCGCGAGGAGGGGAATCTAGTAATGAAGGTATCTGTGAGGGAAGGAAATGACAAAATGCGTGTCACCTTGCAAACTCCACCCCTTAGAAATTTGCATGGCGCTGCATGCAAATATGAGCCTGTACTGTGAGGTCGAGAAGCACATGTTGCTCTTTTGGCTTTACCTGTATTGCACTGAGAAATTAACACCTGTTGGTACAGTGACCATACGTCCTTTATTTCAGAAAACTGTCCTTTAGATTTATTTTTTTAAAAACCACTTTTGTCCTTTATTTTGGTCATTTAACTTTTACTGTATGAATGGTACCACTAAATGCCCAGTCTTTCACATTTGTGTGAAAAATATGAAAACTGAATTGTCTTTTTAAAATAATTCACATACACTGATTTTAGATTTTTTTTATGAGAATATGCATTTTTGTCAAGTTTTTCTTGGTTTTGCTCTTGAATTTTCCTTCGCAAAGCAAAGTTATAAACATTTTTTTTTAATCCTTATGAACCTCTTTCAGATTTGCCCCTTTTTCAGATTTGTCCTTTATTTTTTCTAGAAAATATGGGCACCGCACCCTTTGGGATAGTGTCTACCTATCTTGCTTATAACATGCTAAGTGTCAACTTATAGTTTTTTGTTTTTGTTTTTAAAAAGGCAGAAGTTGGGAATAAAGCTGAGAAGAGAAACTGGATTCATTCCATTTCCCCAGCAACCTCAGAATTATCTAACTGGATTAATTAGGGATCTGAAGGGGAAGTCCAGGAAAATATGTTTCTAGTACAAAAGTTTTCTTGGCAGAACAGGTAAAAATCTGAGCCAGATATATCATGTCAGATTGTTTTTTATTTTGTCCTTGTATAGCAAAGACCCGTTATTTTATATCTGATATTTATGTTCTCTGTACAAGCTCAGTAATTTTGTGTTTTTGCAACTGAAAAGCTCTTTGCAGCACAGATGCCTCCAGATTAGTAGACCAGCATTATCTTGTGGCCTGCCCATAGGTTTATATTTTCCTTGATATTTTTCTATGGATGTTCCTTTTAAATTACTGTCTTGAACAATTTGAACAATTATCTATTTTTATCTCCTATGCCATTGACTGTTTCCATTAACTACTTAAAGGCCCAAACCATTTTTGTACTCTTTCTTTTTTAAATAAAATAAAAATGTGTTTTATTTGTCTATTGCTTTATCTCTTTAAAAGGGAGAGAGGAAAGAGCTGATTTCTTTAGCCACATATTTCAACACTACAGGGCCAGGAGGTGGTGCTATAGAATTATTTCACACTGGCCTTTCCCCTTTGCACATTGCCAGAAAGTAACACAGGGCGTGGGAATCCTCTCTCTCACACAGCAGGTTCAGTTGGAGGACACCAGGTGAAGTATTCCCTAGAAGTTAAGTTATGGCATGGAGAACTGTCAAGGTGCATATCAAGGCAGGAGGTATACAGATCCAGAGGACTTCTGGGAGAGGGGATTTGAGACCTTGAAGTTTTCACTTTACCAACTCAGCCAGGTTGCTGCAGTACATTTCTCAGGAACATGGGGCTACCACTAAAAATGCATTGCTCTCAGGTCAAAAAGCAGGGCCTCTTAAGTTGACCTCAAAGGTACAAATCTTACAAACTTAATTTTATTACTACTGTATAAACTGATACATTCTGAAAACTGACTGTAATTAATTGCCTTGACGTTAATGTATGTTACAATTTTCTGTTATTTTTTTGAACATCTGTTAATAAAAAGGTTTTACACAAAAACATTCCTGTGATGTTCTTTAATCCTTGAAGTCTATAGTACAGTAATCACAATTAATCTTTCAATATCTATCTATCTTTCGGACTTCCGGTGGAGGACAATATGACAGAAGGTCCCTCCGGCTGAAGTCCCTCTGAAGCTGGAGCATTAAACATGGTTAATTCGGTGTCTCAGGAATTTTTTCTGAGACACGAAGCATTCTCTGGGCAAGGGGAAGCTATCGAATCACGTCACGTGTCTTCCGGACAGCTATAGCTTATTGATCGAACACAGGTCGCAAACGAATGGTGAGCAATCGGCTGGGAAGCGGGTGGATCAGCTTGTTGGTGCCTCATTTAAAGCCTCTTAAAGAGACACTACTTCCTACCACCCCACCTCTAAAATCACTTTTGTTGTAAGTTATTTAAAGAATTTAAAGAGGCTACCTCCACTACAGAAATATTTCTTCTCTTGGCTGGACTTTCATTATTTTCTGGGACTTTTAAAGTGTGTTGTACTGGATTTGAAAGATTGAAATAAGAGCATGCAATCTGGAAGTTTTAATGTTTTCAAAGAAGTTTTCTACGCTTTCTACTATTTTTATCTATATTTTATTTTTGCTTTTAAAAAGGAAGAATTTTACATACTTTTTTTTTGTGGAATTGAGAGAGATTTATTCTTAAATGCTGTGGGAAAGTTTTGGTTTGGCGATTTTCACAAATTATGATTGGCTGCAGACTCGACCCTCTTTTGTTGCTAGTTTGTGAGAAAGCAAAATCTGCCGATACTTCTAAGCTGGGATTGGCTGCTGATTTGGCCCCCCCCTCATCTTGCTGTTTGTTGTGGCTATCCAGTTACATTTGCATTTGGGGAATATCACTTTTGGCCACAAGAGGGAGTGAAAATATTAAATTGGAAACTATCAAAAGGAAGAAACAGCTTTCCTTTTCTTCTTTCTTTAATTTTTAACTAAGGGCGGAAAGAAGAAGAAACAGAAATAATGGCCACCAAAAAGCATATAAGGCATGGATTTGGTGA